AACGACGTCGTTTTAATAAAAAAATAAATAAAAGTCAACGGGTTACCACCGGGTTTTTGACCGAGTTTTTCCGGGTCGTCCGGGTTTCCGGGTCAATCCGCCGGGTCGTCTGGGTCACGCCGGGTCATAGCTTACTTTATTTTTTCATCAACCCGGCCCGGTTCTAGCCCCGGGGTCATCAACCCGGCTCGGTTCCAGCTCCGGGTCGGCCGGGTCCTAGGTTAACCCGCCGGGCCGGGTTTTAAAACTATGGTTGGACCTGTGAAAAGCAATCCTCACATGCTTGAATTCACTCCGTACTCTCCATTAGCCTGAAAATCCCTAACTTCCCTCAAATAAATCCTCACTGATCTTGCACCAAAAGGATTTCCTTCAGGATCCCCTCTATGCGCCTCACAGGCTGCTCTGAGTCATCCAATGAGTGCACCAAGACTTCCGCAGGCTTGCCGGAGTGGGCAAGGGCACGTTGCTGGTGGCTTAGGGCCGGAGGCCGAAGAAAGCAAGAGGAGTTAATTAGCTGAACAAAGAAGCGCGAAGAACTAAGCTGACGGCAACACCACCACTACAAGCATCATCTGGTAACAAATGAACGCTGAAAAGCCTGTGGATTAATCTATTTATAGCAGACAACAATAAGGAAATTAGTTCTTAATCATAATATTTCTGAGGTTTTAGCAGCATTGTTCATGAAATGTTGTAATAAATTTGTATGGTGCCATGTACAAATCAGTGTCATTGTCGTGTATGCTTGTATACTTACGTATAATTTACTCCAGTGATAATGTTTTTGGATCTATGCCAATTGAATAAAATGCAGTTGTTAGTTAACAATATATATTCAATAAAATACAGAAAGTAATATATTTGTTATTCAATTATTATTCAACTAGAAGTGGGAAAATTTTCACCTCTCTCTTTTTAAAAAAGATTAAATATTTATTAATGAGAAACAAAGTTTACATCTTTCCACGAATTCTTTTCATATTTACTAATATAAAAGATAGTTTTAGCGACAAGTTTAATTTATTACTATACCATAATTTTAAGCAAAATATCATTACATTGACATTTCAAATATTTTTTTTATTATATATTGTTATCAATATTTATTTAACTCTAAATTTAACCATACTATTTATTTTAGTAAATTTTCATTAACGTTAAAAAAAATATAGAGAAAAAAAAACCTTTCAAAAAAGAGTTATAATACCCTAGTCCATAAAACCCAATAAACAAAAATTAGCCCAGACTACATGCAAAGAACATAAATGGGCCATGTCTAATATCTTGTATGAATCCATTCCCGTAAGAAATCAAAGTCGGTCATTGATAGATTTTATTTTATTCCATTCCCGTAAGAAATCAAAGTCGGTCTTTGATAGATTTTATTTTATTTTTTTATGCATTTTAAGAGTATATTTCATTTAAAAAAAAAATATTGATTTTTTATGTAATGAAAAAATAAATTTCTTTTAATAAAATTATTCCTAAAAAACATATTACAATGCAATATCGAACTAAGTCTCCCCATTAAATTGGGATTTCTACACGTTGATACCAAAGCAATCACATCATTGGAATACCATATGTTTCCTAGTTAAACATTAATTTAACCCCCTTAATTAACCCTTTAATATACTAGGTTAATGAAGATTGAATATTAAAACTAAAACTGAAAAATATTATCAACTTACAAGTCGTTTTTCTTGTAATTAAAATCCCAAGATTCATTTGATACAAATGGTGTTTTTGGTGTGAGAAACCGACACTATTTTTTTTTGCAGCGTAACCTAGCTTGGAGCTTCCTCAATTACCAACGAGCCCTTTTGGTATCGATTATCCAAAGGTTAGCATTTAATTCAAAGTATTTTCGAATTAGAACTATCATTGTGTTACACCCCTGTGTGTAGGATTAATTAGCATGGAAATAAATAATAAATGAAGTTTACTACACCAAGCAACAAGGATTACTATTGGCTTCAGTTCTCTTATGCTCGAGAATATTGAAAGAATACAAATGCTTGAAACTCTATCGTGGTTCTAAAGGGGCATTTAAGTAGTTTGAACTTAGAAATTATAGGTTCAAATTCAACTAGAAAATTGAAATTGTATTGCTTGCTTACTAGCATAATTGTAGTGCTCGAATTGGCTCGATGGATTAAATGTTTTGGACTTGATTGTGATACATCCACTATTCACAGTAACATCCACTATATATTATAGACAGGGGATCATGCTGCATGCTACATGCTGCATGAGTGTGAATATGAAGTGTGGGACTTCTGCAGGAATGTGAACGTGGGACGTGCTGCAGAAAGTGGGCAGTTGACAATGCTTTAATTTCTTTTTATTGTTTTGTTAATTCTATTGTTAATTCAGTTATGCAATATAAAGTTATAAATGCTAACGTTAATTTTAATAAAAGATATGAATTATATCCTAAATAATATCATAATCCCTTGATTCTTCTCTATTATTATATCTCTTTAAATTCTTTGTATCAAATTGATTGTTAAATTTAAATAATATGGGTATGATATGTTTATAAGACACATGATATCTTAGATTTAGTAGCTTGTCAAGTTTAAATACCTTGAAAATATGTTAGATCCAAAATATATTGGCTTGGTAAGCATCAAAGTTCAAAGATAACGTGGGTTACTTGAATGTGATTACTTGTCACGTTTAAATATTTTGAACTTAATTAATTATTAAATTCAAGTACCTTAAGTTTGACATGTTTATTAAATTTATATTATTTTAAATTTAGCTAATTATGAAGTTAAAATATCCATTTTGATATAGTGTTAAGTTTGAAAAAACCTAGATATGACTAATGATATATGACATACAACCATACTTAATCATATTTAGATTTAACCAGCGCTAAACCCATCTACCTTGATGAATTTGGCAAGAGCAAAGTGCACGACCAAATTTGTCAATTCTTTGGCTTCCCTGATCCACCAACAATGTATTAGTTATTAGTCATATTTCAGAGGATTTAGCAGAATTTTTTGGGAAATGTTGTATTTTTTATATGGTACCATGTGCAAATCAGTGTTATTGTCATGTATGCTTGTATATTTATGTATATTTTACTCTAGTGAAAATGTTTTAGGATCTATCGTCAATTGAAAAAAATACAGTTGTTAGTTAACAATATATTCAATGAAATACAAAAAGTAATTTTTTTTATTCAATTATTATTATTATTATTATTCAACTAGAAGTGGGAAAAATTTCACCTCTCTTTTTTTTGGAAAAAATTAAATATTTATTAATAACAAACAAAATTTACATCTTTCTGTAAATTATTTTTATATTTATTGATATAAAATAGAGTTTTAGCGATGATTGTTTAATTTATAATATACCAAAAATTTTAAGTAAAATATCGTTGCATTGAAATTTTAAATACTAAAAATATTATCAACTTACAAGTCGTTTTCCTTGTAATTAAAATCCCTTGATTCATTTAATACAAATGGCGTTTTTAGTGTGAGAAACCAACACTATTTTTTTTTGCAGTGTAACCTAGCTTAGAGCTTCCTTAATTACCAGCGAGTCCTTTTGGTATCCATTATCCAGAGGTTAGCATTTAATTAAAAGTATTTTCTAATTAGAACTATCATTGTGTTGCACCCCTGTGTGTAGGATTAATTAGCATGGAAATATATAGTAAATGAAGTTTACTACACCAAGCAACAACGATTGCTATTGGCTTCAGTTCTCTTATGCTTGAGAATATTGAAAGAATACAAGTGCTTGAAACTCTACCGTGGTTCTAAAGGGGCATTTAAGTAGTTTGAACTTAGAAATTATAGGTTCAAATTCAACTAGAAAATTGAAATTGTATTGCTTGCTTACTAGCATAATTGTAATGCTCGAATTGGCTCGATGGATTAAATGTTTTGGACTTGATTGTGATGCATCCGCTACAACATCCACTACACATTATGGATAGGGGATCATGCTACATGCTGCATGAGTGTGAATATGAAGTGTGGGACGTGCTGCAGAAAGTGGGCAGTTGGCAATGCTTTAATTCTTTTTTATTGTTTTATTAATTCTATTGTTAATTAAGTTATACAATATAAGGCTATAAATACCAATATTAATTTTAAGAGAAGGTATGAATTATATCCCAAATGATATCTTAATCCCTTGATTCTTCTATGTTATTATTTTTATGCAAATTCTTTGTATTAGACTTATTGTTAAATTCAAGTATTATAGATCTGATATGTGTGTAAGACATATGGTATCTTAGATTTAGTGGCTTGTCAAATCTAGATACCTTGAAAATACAGTAGATCCAAGACACGTTAGCTTAGCAAGCATGAAAATCCAAGGATAACATGGGTTACTTGAATGTGGCAGGTTGCCACGTTTAAATATTTTAGACCTAGTTAAGTCCAAATGTCTTGAGCTTGACATGTTTATCAAATTTATATTACCTTAAATTTAGTTGATTATGAAGTTCAAGTATCGATTTTAACATAATCTTGAGTCCGAAAAAACTTGAATATGACTAATGATATATGACATACAACCATACTTAATCATGTCTAGATTAAGTTAGCGCTAAACCTAGCTATCTTGATGAATTTGGCTAGAGGAAAGTGCACAACCAAACTTGTCAATTCTTTGGCCTCCCTGATCCACCGGCAATGTATTAGTTATTAGTCATATTTTAGAGGATTTAATAGGATTTTTTGTGTAATGTTGTATTTTTTTATGATACCATGTGCAAATCAGTGTTATTGTTGTGTATGCTTGTATATTTACGTATATTTTACTCCAATGAAAACGTTTTAGGATTTATCGCCAATTGAACAAAATGCAGTTGTTAGTTAACAATATATTCAATGAAATACAAAAAGTAATATATTTTTTATTCAATTATTATTATTATTACTCAACTAGAAGTGGAAAAAATTTCACCTTTCTTTTTTTTTAAAAAATTAAATATTTATTAATAACAAACAAAATTTACATCTTTATGTAAATTTATTAATATAAAATAGAGTTTTAGCAACGATTGTTTAATTTATAATATACCAAAATTTTAAGTAAAATATCATTGCATTGAAATTTTAAATATTTTTTTATTATATATGTTTAGCAATATTTATTTAACTCTAAATATAACTATACCATTTATTTTAGTAATCTTTTTTTATTAACGTTAAAAAAAATAGAGAAAGAAATAAAGAAAAACCTTTCAAAAGAGAGCCATCATATCCTAGTCCATAAGCCCAATAAACAAAAATTAGCCTAGACTATCATACAACCACTAGGATTCCTGCTACATGCAAAGAACATACATGGCCCATGTCTAATATCTTGTACAAATCCGTTCCCATGAGAATTCAAAATCAGTGATTGATAGCTTTTATTTTTTATGCATTTTAAAAGTGTATTTTATTTTTAAAAAATAAGTTTGATTTTTAATATACTGATAACACAAAAAAAATATTTTTCATATTTTCTTGATTAACAGCACTGATTTGTAGATGGGAACTGGAATTGGGATTGATTGAAGGAGAACTATATCTAGGGATAGTTTTTTAACTAAACAAGTACCAATCGGTCACTGTAATATTTACTGAGGTAAGAAAAATCTTTTTGCTTTGTTTAGTGAGTTCTGTTTCTTTTTCAAGAATTAAACATTGATGAACTTTCTTGTCCAGAAAATAAATAAAATTTAAGTTGAAATTATTGATCATGCATTGCAAAGTTTGTTGCTTAATCAAAAGAGAGGCAAATTACTGCTTAATCTGAATCAAACTTGGAGCATGTGGGCTACGAAGTTCTGGCATGTTCTCTGATTAGTTTTCAAAGGAAGAAGGATTTGAAAATAGGAAAAATGGAAGACAGGGAGGCATAAGTGAAGTGATGATATAAAATAATTTCTCTAGAGTGAGGTTACTGCCCGCCTTTCTGAAAAGGCAGACATGGTGATTCCATTTGCAACAGGTATGAACCAAACCGCCTGTAAATTTCTCCAGTTAATTTTTTGGATTCCCTTGTCACTGTCATGGTTATTGCATAAGTAAATAGGATATTTAAATTTAAATGTATGCCTTCCACATTTAACTGTGTCTGCTCTACGTGCCAGCATTCAGAAAAAAAGGGAGGAACACTTGTGGTCACAGATACTAATGGAACATTCATCGATGAGAAGTGGCTGAGACCTGGAGCTGCTGTCAGTGTATCGCCTGGAAATCGTATCACATCTGGTACTACCTCTAACTGTAAGTATCATTTCCTCCCATTTTCTGCATAATTATTATACTGCAGTATTTTTGGTCTTCAAATCCCGATTGAAGTTGATTGCTTTTGGATTCTTACCGATTTCGTTGCATGCATTGTCATCTTTCATTAGGACACCAGTACTAATTGCACTAAGATTTAGACTAGCAATTGAAAGAGTACTCCAGAAAGCTGTTGAGCTTATGAACTTGCATAGATATATCATGCGCTAGAAAACAATCCATATCAGGAATTCCTTTGAATCTAACTCTTGTTCATTTTCATTTTTTGTTAAGATTTTTCTAAAAGAGTAAAATTCCAAAGGGGGAAGATGCATGCATTTCTAATCCATTTCCACTTGTCCAGTATGTATAACAAGTGCCCTTCGGCATCCAAATTTTGTTCCAAGTTCAGTGTTCCAAAGGGGGAAGATGCATGCATTTCTAATCCATTTCCACTTGTCCAGTATGTATAACAAGTGCCCTTCGGCATCCAAATTTTGTTCCAAGTTCAGTGTTCCAAAGGGGGAAGATGCATGCATTTCTAATCCATTTTCACTTGTCCAGTATGTATACCAAGTGCCCTTCGGCATCCAAATTTTGTTCCATGTTCAGTGTTCAGTGAGCACATGTAGCCCAAAGAAATCATATAATTTTAGAGCAGAGAACGAAGTCATGCACTAGATTGCTACGACTTCTTATTTCCAAGCTGATGAAGAAAAGTCTCGGTTTCTTACAGACATCGCAGGGTGTTTGTTCAAATGATGCTGTTAAGATTTTGAGAAATGGTTCAACATTAGAATTGAAAACGCTTCTTGCATGTACAATGGTTCAATGCCTGAATTTCTGAAGTTCCATTATCATTTGCTTATGTCTCAGTTCTTTTATTGCAGGGGATACTTATCTGGCTATGTTTCTTGTCTCCAAGCATGCCAGATTACTGTTGGTACTGATACTGACTCGGTGGGTTCAAGCTGAAGAGTAGAAGGATCAGTGGCTGGAAATTTGAAGGGAATAAACTCGAGCCATTATTTCAAGCTGGGTCAAAAAAGACGCGGCTGTGAAAATGGTTTGTTTTGGAGGTGAAACCATCGTTGATAGGAGTCGCCTAACAGAATTAGAGTTCTACATCAGCTGTAAGTTTATAGTTTATAGGAGACTAGAGGTTTGCAAGAATTATGACTAGTATGATTTGCGTTAAAGTTCGAATTCTGCAGTAACAAGTCAATGTTAGAGTTTTATTCTTATTAGGAGATAGTTATTTGATTAATTTCTTCACGTCATGAGATGATGTTAAGAAGTCTTTGCCTAGTATGATTTGTAAAGTCTATTTAAAGCCATCTTGATTATTCAGAATACATAGAAAACTTCTAGAGATTTGTTCAAGATTGAGAGATCATACTTGTATAAACATGAGTAGAATAGGAACTCTTGAGGAGGATTTGGTGGAATTAGTGAGGAAAGTGGAAAGTATGATTGTTCGGAAACGAAGGGAGATTGATAGAAAAGCACAGATGGCGCAAAAAATTGAGAATTTGATGGTGGAGTTGACCCTTGAGAAGGAAAAGAACTTCAAGTTAAAGATGGAATTGGAGACTATCAGAGAAGGAAGTGTTGAGAAGGGTTTAGTGGAATTAAAGGAGCAAGTGGAGAGTATGGTTGTTCTGTTACGAAGGGAGGCTGATGGAAAGGCACAGATGGTGCAAAAAATTGAGAATCTGATGGAGGAGTTGATCCTTGAGAAGGAAAAGAACTTCAAGTCAAAGATGATATTGGAGACTATCAACTTCGTGTCTTCTGGTGCGTCTACTAATGCTGCTGCTGCTTCAATTGATTAAGTTTTTTTGTTGAAGATGGATATTTGGCATGTTTAGATTCTTATTTCTTGAGTTTCTAGGAAAATAAATACTTTTCTTGCTTAATTTTATTTTTCTTAAGTTTTCTTATTTGATGGTTCTGCTAATAAGCTCCTTGCATAGCAGTTTCTTTTACTTCCAGGCACCTTGCTCTTCGTTTTTCCAGATGAATTTCATTTTTGCTCATCATTGTAATCATAGCATCAAGTGTTTGATGTAATTGAATTTTCTATAATTAAATACTTACAAATAACTTGTTTTTTTGTAATTACGTGTATACTTATCGTAATTGAACGCAATGCGTGATTCATCATGCAACTTGAGAAGATATCAGGATCATAAACTCCACTTTCCAACAATAAAAATATATAAAAAAAAAACTCAAAGTACAATCAATAATGAAGCATTCAAGCTGGAAGCTTGGAGGAAATTACTCGCAGAATACCAGCTGTCTGACCACTCCAGCAACTTTCCAAGGCATTTAGCATACGCCCTTCCACATCCACCCTCTCCACCTTCCACACCCTTCCTCCTCATCTTTCTTAGAAAAAAGACGATCGATGATTCTCTTGAATACAACAGCGCTGAAACCCAATTTTGGCTTTGAACCGATCTTCGTATCCATTCCACAGTACAATGAAATCATTAGAGCCAGCAACGTCTAGCTCCCGGTTGTCTTCCAGTTGGAAGGTTGAAGGAAATTACATGTGGAACGTACAGATTCTTGCTATAGCTACTTCAAATTTCCAAAAGAACATTGGGAAGTAGGCTTGCTACATCCACCCTCCCTTCCTCTTCCCCCGGTAAAAAAAAAAAAAATGAAAAATGGCCTGCATGAACACAACATTGATCAAGAACATCTTCGCTTAACAAAGCTTTACATACATCCCAAAGGGTTTATGGCGGCTTGTCACTTGTCATACAACAGAGAACTTGACCTAAAACAAGAAGAGCAAAACTCTTAGCTTACAACTTCAACGTCTCCATCTCCCTTCCTAAAACCTTACATCTCATCAAACTCCCAAAAGTATTCAAAACCAATTTCACATCACCCCATCTATCTCCAGCAGCCAACTTTTTATACAAGTAACTATCAAATGTCATCCTCTGCACATACTCATCCCCACATAACTCCACCAAGGCTTCTCTACCCGCATTACTCCCATAAAACACTCTTTGCAGCAGATCCAAAAACCTAAATGTATTCACATACTTCCTGTCCCATTCTCTCAAGTACTCCCTCTTCAAGTCCTCCTCACTAATCATTTTCTCCCCTCCTTCCGAAGCCTTCACAATAGCCTCCCCACACATTCTCCCTGATTTCGCCGCAAAATATATCCCTTCTCCTGAACACTTGGTCACGTACCCCGCCGCATCCCCTACAAGCGCCACACGTCCACGCACGCGCCTCGGACGTGGGTGCTCAGGGATCGGGTGCGCCTCCACTTTAATCACTTTCCCACCCTTAATCTTCTCCCTAACCCTCTCCCTAATCCCTCTTTGATACACCTTAATATTCTGCCTCGCACACACCGTACCAGTCCCCACCGCCACGTGGTCACATTTTGGAAACACCCACGCATAAAAATCAGGCGACACGTCATTCCCGACATACATTTCCGCGAGATCATGATAATACTCCATTTTCTCATCCGGCAATTTGATTCTCTCCTGGAACGCAATGGCACAACTGTAGTTCCCGGCATCAATAATCTTCGCTACCCTGCTATTGGCTCCATCAGCACCAACAATCAAATCAACGGCTAACGATTGTTTACGATTATTGATCGTGTGATGGATAACATAAGGTTTGGAAGAAGAAAAATCAGGCACCTCAATATCCGTTACGAGGCCAGTGATAAAATGAGCACCGTTGGATTGAGCGCGAGATCGGAGAAAAGAATCCAGTACTTCGCGGCGCAACATGGGGATAAACTCGTGAGACTTTAAAGTCCTGGAACCAAAATCAACGGTCAGATTCGAAGGAGAGATGATCTTCATGCGAGTGACATGTCGGTCGACGAGGTGAAGAGGGATGGAAAACTCGTCGATCATACAGAGAGGGATGGCCCCACCACATGGCTTAGCTGTGGAAGGGCTGCGTTCAAAGAGGAAAGTTTCCACTCCACCGGCTGCTAAGACTTCTGCGGCGGACGAACCAGCTGGGCCACCGCCGATCACGGCGGCGCGGAGTTTGCGGCCCGAGATGGAGGTGGCGGTGATGGTTAGGTTGTGGGGTTTTGGTTTTTGGTGAGGTTTTAGGGTCTTGAGAGGTGGGGTTGGAGCGAAAAGAAGATTGTGTGCTAGTGTAAATGCAGCCATGGTGATGGGAGGTTCAGTGAAGGGTGTGAGGAGAGTTAAAGAAGAGTGATTAATGATAATGGCAGTTTGGATTGTAATGGAGTTGGGTTTGGTGGAAAGAATCGTTTTGATTATTTTAATCTGTTTGTACGTTGTATGTTATTTTTTTATATATAATTGTTTGTTTTTTTATTCGTTTTTGTTAAATAAGACCAAACGTCCTCTGTTTCTTTAACGGACACTCCCTGTCTGGTTTTAAATAATTTTTTGTATTTGAATTTTTTAAAAAAGTTGTTAATTTGAATTTTAAATAAAATTTAAATCATAAAGATAAAAATAAATTAAAGGGAGATTTTTCATTTGCTATAGTAATTTTAAATTAAAAAATTTATTTTAAAAATACTTCTCCTTTGTTTTTCTCAAAAATCCCAGAACTTCTCTTTACCATTTTTTCAACAAAAACTTTGATTTCTTGGATGAAAAGAATTGGACACTGCCTGATGAATTTACTGAATTAAAAAATAAATAAAAAAAATACAAACACATTGCCTTCAATTGTGTTTTGGATCTGAAGATTTATATCAAGTCTTCTAGTACTTGATTACATGTTGTTGGGCTATGTTATTGCTACACTGGTTTCTTACTGGTGGCATGAAGCTTTGGTGATGTCTACTTTTCCTGGGGTTAATTTTATCGGATATTGAAATTGAAATGACTTTGTTATCGCTACACTGGTTTTTTACTGTATTGATAATGAATGCGGTTAAAATTATATTTTTCAAAAAAGAATTAATTTTTATTTTTATTTTAGATTATTTGATATACTAATATAAAAATATTTTAAATAAATAAATAAATAAAAATATTATTTTAATATATATATCTAAATAAAAATTACTTTAAGCTGTAATTATTATAATGCAGCTGGCCTTGCAATTGAATGTAAATGGATTTTCAAAAAATAAATAATAATAATAATAATATGTTTGATGTTGTGTTAGTTTTTATAATTATAATTCAAAAAATAAATATTTTATATGATGTAATTTTGATTAAGATTGGTTTGATATTTATATATGTTTGATTAAAACTATAGTTGAAATTGAGATTGAATAAAAAATAATTTAATGTGTTTTGTTAAGAATGTTTTTCAAATTAAAATCATAATATATATATATATATATAGTTTTTAATTTAAATATTGTAGCTGAAATTACTGTTATTACATCATAAAATAAATAATATTTTATATAAAATATTTTTTATTATTTTATTAAACTATTTATAATTTCATCACGTACAAAATTCATCTTATAAGAACTACAATTTTCATAGTTTTTTAAGTATGCAATAAAATTAGGTAAAATATCATTAGGAATAAATTGTGATTACGATCAAATTTTGCAAATACTATATCATTATACAATCTCCTTTTAATTTATATTGCGTCATTAAATAATGTTAAACACTATTTTTTTGTATAAAACACAATTAAAAATTAAAAAAATTGATTTTTTTACTGGATCGGATCCAATTTAACACATTTAGATTTGGATCGGACCCAAATCAGCCACAAATAGTGAAGATGTTCTTCACTATTTACTTTTAAAAAATAAAATATAATTAAAAATTAAAAAAAATATATTTTTTTACTGGGTTGGATCCAGTCTAATACATTTAGGTTTGGATCGGATCGAATCCAGACTAACCATGAACCACGAATACATTCTCCACTGTTTACTTTATAGAAGTGACCAGTAAATTAATTTATTTTTTACATACAGCATAAAAAGATAATTAGTTAGTTTGAAGCTGTTTTCAATTAATTTGCATTTTAAACACAAATTATACGAAGTTTCATAAATAATAAATTATATTTTATAATTTGTTAAATGATTTTTTTATGTAATTTGCTTCAAAAACAAAAGCAATTGCATAAATAAACAACCTAGGTGATGTGTTTGTCTCAATCTATATAAAAAGTTAATTATTCTATAGATTTTATGTTTATTTTTTAGTAGAGCAAAACTCTTTAGTTATTTTATATAGACCTTTATATTGAGAAATATTATTTTAACATTAATATGATGTACATATAAATTATAAATTGATTATAAAGTTAAAGTATTCTTATAAATGTTATACAAACTAATGGAGTATATTTATTAAAATTGTCTTTCCTCTTGTTTATTGCCTTTGCCTATTAATCTTACTCTAGAAGAAAGTATGAATTGATTGATTATTATTATATATTTTTTGAAAAACCATTTACATTCAATTGCATTCAAACCTGAAGGCACGTCAATAATAATTTATGTATTGTTATATAATAATGAGTCAAAATTAAAAATTAAAAAAATTAATTTTTTTACTGGATCGGACCCAATTTAACACATTTAGATTTGGATCGAACCCAGATTGGCCACAAACAGTGAAGATGTTCTCCACTATTCACTTTTGAAAAATAAAACATAATTAAAAATTAAAAAAATTAGATTTTTTTACTGGGTTGGATCCGGTCTAATACATTTAGGTTTGGATCAAATTCAGACCAACCATAAACCACGAAGACATTCTCTACTGTTTACTTTATAGAAGTAAACAGTGAATTAATTTACTTTCTGGATACAGCATAAGAAGAGAATTAGCTCGAAGCTGCTTTCAATTAATTTGTGTTTTAAATGCAAATTATACTAAGTTTCATAAATAATAAATTATATTTTATAATTTGTTAAATGATTTTTTTATGTAGTTTGCTTCAAAAACAAAAATAATTACATAAATAAGCAACCAAGGTGATGTGTTTGTCTCAATCTATATAAAAAGTTAATTATTCTATAGATTTTATGTTTATTTTTTAGTAGAGCAAAACTCTTTAGTTATTTTATATAGACCTTCATATTGAGAAATATTATTTTAATATTAATATGATGTACATATAAATTATAAATTGATTATAAAGTTAAAGTATTCTTATAAATGTTATACAAACTAATGGAGTATATTTATTAAAATTGTCTTTCCTCTTGTTTATTGCCTTTGCCTATTAATCTTACTCTAAAAGTATGAATTGATTGATTATTATTATATATTTTTTGAAAAACCATTTACATTCAATTGCATTCAAACCTGAAGGCACGTCAATAATAATTTATGTATTGTTATATAATAACGAGTCAATCTCATTATTAACTAATTTAAAAAAAAAAAACAATATCTCAAGACATTAATGACCTTGTTTAACATATTATAAAACATTTAATTATTAAACTTAATTTATCAATTCAAATAGTCTAATATAAATAAATAAAATAAAACAATTAAATAAGTTTAATCTTCCCATCAAACAGTGATAGGTTGGATCATTTTTTATTATCTTTGTTTATATACTCATATAATCTGTGAGGTAAATCTAGTATTCTCATTATTTTTAATTTAATTAGTTAAATATTAAATTTATTTTTTAAAAATTATTAATTTAAATATCATAAATTATAATATCACTTAAAAACTTTGTAGGATTAGACAAGCTCCAAAAGACATAATTAATCTTAAAAAAATATAGATACACAGTACCAGTGATCGGAGCAATTAAAAATCTCAGAGATCGGAGCTGGAGGAGGATCATTGATTGACCCGTGACTATGGAGCAAAACGTCATTACAAGACAACTGAACAAGACTTTTTGACACCTCTGTGCTCTGCTGGCATTCAGATGCCCTAAAATGAATAGCTAATAAAAATCACAAGAGATCGAACTAACTACAGCCCTTGATTCCAAAACCAAAAATAACTAAAAACCCAGACGCAGTTTCAACCCTAAATTAAACTCTGACAAGAATTTACTGCCAACCCAACAAATACCTGAGAACAAACCCTAGAAGTCAAAACAAAATTTAGCAGCAAATTAACACACGAAACTTTAAAAAAAAATAACAATCCAAATTTCCAAAAGATCAGAACTTGATGAATATTAAGCAAAAATAATACAAGGAAATAAAATTATATGATCCTCAAGGAATTCAAAAGAAAATTAATAAATAAAGATGGAGTCTTTAACGGTACCTATTTAAAGAGAGATTAAAGAGAATATCTTTGAAGGAGAAACTATAAATAGTTTTGCTGGGTTGGAGAAATCTATAATCTAAAATATAATCGTATCAAAATTTATAATTGGAGAAAATGTGAGATGTTTTGTGGTTTTTTCATGGCGAGATTGTAGGATTCTTTTAATAATTTTTATTTATCATTGTTTAGATGCTAAGGAACTAGTCGGTGTAGAAGATTAAGAGACTATTTAAAATTACATTTAATAAAATTTTGATATTTTTAAAAAATTATTTTTTATATATTTTTAAATTATTTAGATGTATTAATATCAAAACTTATTTTAAAAAATAAAAAATATTATTTTAATATATTTAAAAATATATATTTTTTAAAAATAATTAGTATACCATACTTCCAAATTAACAATATATTAAAATGCGTAGTAAAACTATTATAGCTTTCCCACCCCTTTCACTTTTTCATTTTTAATATATGATATTATTATATTATATTATATTATAATCACATTCCCATCTTTAATATATTATAATTATAATTATTATATCATATTATATTATAATATACACTAAAAATTAAATGAAACCTTAAATTATTTGTTTTTTAATTTGTTTTTGTAGTTTTTCTTTTAATAAATTCTTTTATCCCGGGTTTGATGGGTTAGTTTGATTTGACGAGTTAACCTGAATTTTTTTTAATTAATTTTTTCATTTAGCTTAGTTTGTTAATATTAAATTTTTTTATATTTAATTATCAGACTTTCATGACACATATACCGGACTTGACGGGTTAACTTGGTTTGATGGGTTAATCCAATTAATTTTGGGTAAACCCGTTAATTATTTTATTCTATTTAGTTATCAAACTTTCATGACGCAAATCTTAGG